ACCCTCTGTGCATCAACCAACCAACCCACCCTCTGTGCATCAACCAACCCACCCACCAACCAACCAACCCACCCACCCTCTGTGCATCAACCAACCAACCCACCAACCAACCAACCAACTCACCCTCTGTGCATCAACCAACCAACCCACCCACCAACCCACCCTCTGTGCATCAACCAACCAACCAACCCACCAACCAACCAACCCACCCACCCACTCTCTCTGTGCATCGAACAACCAACCAACCAACCAACCCACCAACCAACCCACCCACCAACCCTCTGTGCATCAACCAACCAACCCACCAACCAACCAACCAACTCACCTCTGTGCATCAACCAACCAACCCACCCACCAACCCACCCTCTGTGCATCAACCAACCAACCAACCCACTAACCAACCAACCAACCAACCCACTCCACCCACTCTCTGTGCATCGAACAACCAACCAACCAACCAACTCCACCAACCCACCCACCCTCTGTGCATCAACCAACCAACCCACCAACCAACCAACCAACCCACCCTCTGTGCATCAACCAACCAACCAACCAACCCACCCTCTGTGCATAAAACAACAACCACCAAAACAACCAACCAACCCACCCACCCTCTATTTCTACCAATTAATTTTGTCTGAAATAAAATTCTCAACTTTTTCCAACCTTTATGATTTGATAGAGCAAGCATTTAACATTTCCAAAACGAAAACATCATTGAATTTTGATTAGGATAAATGCCCATATTAAAGACAGGTGTTTTGAAAAGTGAAAGTAATAATTGATTGTTGTGTGGCCTATACATTCAAGTATTTTATTGTGAATGGATGAAAGTTTGTAAACTAAGATTTAGGAAAAGTTACAGTCAAACTAAAAAGGCAAATTTTAAAATGCATTAAAAGTTGCTTTTACAAAAACAAAACAAACAGATTTTAGCTGTAATTATCAGTATCTGGCAAGGGAAGTGTTTATTCATTACAATAAACTCAAAAATCATAAAACATTTATTCCAAAAATCTCATTAATGTGGCCTTTTTCAGTTTTGTCAATTAGCAATCTGAATTGTTGGAAAAATGTCTGAATCTTTGACATTCGGGTTCTTCCTGATCATTCGTAATTAAAGCTTACTTGATGTGTAAATGTCATCTTGGTATATAACAGAATTGTTATTCTTAGTCAAAATGTAATTCAATTGTGTAGTTTGAGCAGGAGAGGAATAATTATTTTGGGTAAAATTTCAGTCCAATCACATTTTAATCAACATATTCTTTCATAAAGAATAGAGAAAAGGTTATGGTATCTGTAAAACTGTCAGTGGATAAAGGTTTTTGTAACTACAGGTTGATTAAATTCATGGCTATACCCTAACTTTTCTGAAGCATCACATCTTATTTTCATAATAGGGAGGTGCCTAATTAATGCACAGGGGTATAAATAAATGAATGAATGAATGCATGAATGCATGAATGAATGAATGAATGAATGAATGAATGAATGAATGAATAAATACACACACACATAAATAGATAAATAAATAAATACACACACACACATAAATAAATAAATAAAAAAATAAATACATAAATAAATAAATAAATAAATAAATAAATAAATAAATAAATAAATAAATAATAAAAAATAAAAAAATAAATAAATAAATAAATAAATAAATAAATAAAATCAATAAAAAAAAACAATGTAACAAAAGCCATAAATAATGAACGTTCCCTTAAACGGACATTACATATCCACTTTTTTTCTATTCTGCACCAAGATGTAACATGTTGCATCATTACACTGTTACAAAACAAAACATTCATGTTTCTTTTACAAATGTTTCAAGACTGATCTCATTTTGGTGGTTTTGAGACAGTGCAATAGATATGCAGTTAGCTGCCCTTCTTGTTCAAACTCAAGATCACAAAATGAGGCCTATAGCTCCAGTTCTTTTACAGTTTGTACCTTCTAGTATCCCTCATCTTAGCATTTGCATACCAAATTATGATTCATCTTGAGTTTATTAGTCCCATATACTATACCCATCAGCTAATACCTACAGTATCTTGGTGTCATCACATCTACTCTTGTTTGGAGTCTATTCTCCCCTTTCTGAAAAGTAAAATTATTTATCACCAAGAGCAAACATGTTCCTTTAGCATAAAGCAATGCTTACCATTATAATATTTCTTAAAAGTGTCTCAAATTGTAATAACCTTTTTGTCATGGGTTTCTCCTTCTTTTGCATCTGGCAATGAGTCTGTTAGGACAATACATGTGAAAAATATGATATTTCTACCTACTTTGGTACAACCAGGCATCAGCAATGTTTTCATTTCCAGGGTACATATAAGAGTGAGTAGGTGAGTTAAGTTTAAGCCACACTCAGCACTATTCCAGCTATATGGCAGCTGGTCTCTGAATAATCGAAGTCTGTACAAGACAACCCAGTGATCAACAGCATGAGCATCGATCTACCCAATTGGGATAAGATGACGGTCAACCAAGTCAGCAAACCTGACCACCTGATCCTGTTAGTCAGCTTCTTATGACAAGCATGGGTTACTGAAGATCAATTCTAACCCGTATCTTCATGGGTTCATATAAGAGTGGATCATTGTAAATGGTTAAAAATGTAATGTTTCTTTGTTGGCTCCACAAATTGCTAAATATCAACAAATGCTTCATCACACACCTAAACGAATTACCTCTTGCATTTAGGCACTATATACCATCCCATACCTGTGCTGACCATGAACTCTTGTTTAAAAGGATGATTTTATTTACCACTAAGCCACCATCAACCAACGTCCATCCAGTGACACAAAAATCAGTACGAGTGCAATCTGAGTATATATATATGTGTGTATAGAGAGAGATATATACAGAGAGACGATACAGAGAGAGACAGACAGATACAGAGACATGATATATATATATATTTGATACAGAGAGAGAGAGTGACAAAGAGACAGAGATGAGAGACAGAGATGACAGAGAGAGATAGAGATAGAGAGACAGATATATTGAGATGAGATTAACACATAGAGAGAGGACGATTTATAGAGAGAGAGAGAGAGACGAGACAGAGAAAGAGAGATGAGACAGAGAGAGAGACGAGAGAGACAGATAGAGAGAGAGAGACGAGAGAGAGAGAGAGAGAGAGAGAGAGATAGAGAGAGACATAGAGACGAGACGAGAGAGAGACAGAGAGAGAGAGAGAGAGAGACGAGAGAGAGATGAGAGAGAGAGAGAGAGAGAGAGAGAGATGAGATAGAGAGAGAGAGATGAGAGAGAGAGAGAGATGAGAGAGAGAGAGATGAGAGAGAGAGAGAGAGATGAGAGAGAGAGAGAGATGAGAGAGAGAGAGAGAGAGAGAGAGAGAGAGAGAGAGAGAGAGATAGAGAGAGAGATGAGAGAGAGAGAGGGGAGATGAGAGAGAGAGACGAGAGAGAGAGAGAGAGAGATGAGATGAGAGAGACATGAGAGATGAGAGAGAGATGAGACAGAGAGAGATGAGATAGAGAGAAAGATGAGATAGAGAGAGATGAGATAGAGAGAGATGAAATGAGAGAGAGAGAGAGAGAGATGAGAGAGAGAGAGAGAGAGAGAGAGAGAGAGATGAGATAGAGAGTGTCAGGGTGAAGGCAGAGGTCAGGATGGTCAGAGGCTAGTTAGATTCAACTTAGATGGACAGCAATTCACACATGTGGTCAGAAGAGATAGGTGCATAAATTAGATATGCTAGGAAATATATATATAAAACCCCAAAGGGTTCAAGATACTTAATGACAAGTGACAAGAGAAACAGATTTGTGAAGGAAATGGAATGAGCATGAATTTTCAATGGAAGCAAATGAGATACTATGCAGAATGAAAGACTGACAATGAAACCGAAATGAGTTTGAGAGCAATTGGATTAGACTGTTGTGAAACATGAAGGAAGGAGGAAATGGACAGAACTAATGAAAGAAGAATTACAAATATTTGAGGTTTGGTACATTACAGATGTATAGGAAATCAAATCATTATCTCTGCACATCAATTTATGAAATTTAAAAATCAATTCCAAAATTCACATGAAATATAAAATGGCATCAAAAGAGATATTTCCGCTCAAAAATTATTATTTTCAAGGGAAACAATGAAATTGATAAATTCAGTCTTAAGTCTTTAAATGGAATTCACTCTCATGCCAATATTCAGCAACAAATTATAACTAAGATCTTTACACCTTTTCTGTGTTTTGTTAATACTGCATACAATTTGACTATGGGAACAAATAAAAAATACTTAAAACATGGGAATGTTAAGATACAATATGAATACACTCTCACAAACTGATTTTAAATCATAGCTTTTGTGAAAACAGTGCAACAAGAGGGCACAGAAATCTACAACCTTTCTCCCCTTTCAATGGTGCATAAAATCACCAGAAGTGTAAAACATAAGAGAACATACCATTAATCCTAAAGCATATGAGCACAAGTTACATAATAATGACTTCACCTAAATCTTCACTCACTCCCCTACTCTTAAAGCTTTCAATATCTTGTAATACCATGAATTAGAAATGGTACCCTGGTACTTTTCAGTGACTGAGTTTTGCATTTGACAGCAAAGACTGAAGTCATACATTCATAATAATAATAATCATAATAATGTAGCAGATTCATCAGTCCTTTAATGTTTGCATGATGCTGTACCTTCTTTAATTGCCTCTGCATTATAATTAACATCCCAGACTACTCCAGCTGTACCATAAACTAGTTTACCAAGACTGATCTACCTCCTTGGTCACCCTTGACTCAACATAGAGATTTTTTCCTGGGATCTATATTTTCACCTATATAGATACAGCACTGTTGTATGACATGGGATAACAGATGTGCCCACTTTGCCTAATTAAATGCTAAATCTAAAATTCAACAGTGCCCCCTGCATACCATTGCAGATTGCCTTCACAGCAAGAATAGGCATCAACTGATTCTGAAAGCTTTCTCCTCAACAAACTGTTGATCTGGACTGGTGGGCAACCCAACATGGGATGGTATGGTGAACAACCTGTAAACATACATGAAGTTATTTAGTACACACAAACATTTGTTTTAATGCCATAATATAAATAATAACTGTATCCATGCTGGATGCTTTCTGGAGTAACCAAGAAGGATGCACAAAATAGACACAGATGTTGAGATTTAACTTAAAAATGCCTTATTTGACAATTGAGGTTAAAATGTAACATCAAAACAGAAAGTCTAACTACAGTATATAACATTGCCAAAGAGGAGCATACCTGTTAAGGTGTCATGACAGAAAGATGAACTGTCAAATACATTGATTCACTTTAATGGAAAATAACAAATACATCTTCAGCCATGCAAGTGCAAATGAAACTAGCAAAATATCTCTATAATCCCAACAAAAGTGGGGTCAATTGTCTGATTGTGACTATGGCATACAGTGTTCATGATTTACTACCAGTTTGTGGTGGTACCAACGGTTCACAAAAAAGCTGAGCCTATATTGCCTGACCACTGAGTGGGAACCTGCAAGTCCAATACATCTGTTCTGTGTTTGTGGCTCTGCCCTAACGTTGATATGTTCCAACTTACACCAACAATAATTTCCTTCATATCAAGCATCAGGAAGAATGCCTTTACATCTGTGACCTTAACCAGGGACATGACCTTTATAGATTACATATCATATTTCAGATCCCATATATATTATTTGTTATTTATCTCCTACTCCTAATTATTGTTCCCATTTCAATGCATAATTAGTAGTGTTGGGAATTGGTTAAAATTGATCATTGGTCCATTACAACCGATCAATCATCGAAAATAATTGGTTAGGATCATTTATCAAATGTTCCTGTTACCTTTGTTAATGCACAAAATAATTTACAAAAAAAACCCATGTAGTTCTTTGGGTTTTGGGGTAAATTGCACAAAATGCATTTTCATACTTCACATATTTAAAGGATGGCTAGTATGTGAGGAACATAAATTTCCAGGAGTCTTTAAGATAAATTCAATCATGACTTGGAACAACCTTGTAGTGCTTACATGAAATGTAAACTATAATGACTCAGACAAACCAACCTTGTGAAAAAAATATTGTTAATGCAAACAAGTGTTCCAAAACTTTGTGTCTCGATTATGGGAAAACATTTCGATTGCTTGGTTTATTTAGTCACTAGCACCAATCTTCATTATTTCAATTAATCAGACCACTCTCACTAATAATTGGTTGACTGCTCACTTAAACTCAGAGCCTTGGTCACATTGTGGTATTCTCTTGGATTTCCATCCATACTCAAGGTAGATCCTATGTAGTTGATCCACAAAATCAATGGTATGTTGCCCCACTGGTGTTTTCTATATCAGGTTTCAAATTTGCTTCATTAGGGAAATTTGGGATAACAATTGCCTGTCACCCTGATTATCAATAAACTCCTGTACGGATTCCTAAGAATTTTTCAGCATAATACCGCTTATCAATGTTCTTATATTTCTCGAATTTCGGATCCTGAACCCAACAAACGCTGTGAAAATTTGTGGATATGACATTATGAAGTCCAGACTGAGGAATCACTAGTTTCCTGTCCCCATCAATAATTTCCAGTCTGTATTTTCCATGGACAGGGTTGTGGATTTCTTTCCAAGGTAATCAAACTTTGTTCATTTTCTTACAAAATGATAAAACTTGACAATCTTACTTTTCTGGGGAATGTCACCTCCTTCAAGTTTTAATCTTAAGGCAGTCGCGGATGTCATTTGGAAATAACACCAATGTTTCTATTTCTTGAAGGTTGAGCCTGAAATGCATCAAAATCCATCATTAGGTTCAACTGTACCTCATATGTTTGTTTCTATTTTATCTCACATTATGTGATTAATGTTAATAATGTTATATAATTCTATTGAGTTATCTACAAAAAGTTATTAACAAATGTATACAATACAAAAGGTACACACAAGGACCCTCTTTATTCTATATGGAGTAAGTTATTCCACACAAAAATGAAAAAGAATAAGACAAACCAAACTCAGGTAAAACATATTTTAATGTGGTTGCCCTCATCAGCATTAAGATTACTCTGTAGAGTTTGTTTTGGGTAAACATAATGACACAGCATGGTACAATGAACATATCACTGCAACAAATAGATTATAACGTAATGTTCAATACAGAAACACATAAACAGACACTGAACACTATAGTATTAATGCACACCATTATTACCATACCATATCAAATGTAATCGCGACCCAAATAGTCCAGCTGCTGCCTATATACTTAATATGTGGCTGATTATGAATTAGGCAAATGAGACACTAACATGACTAACAATTATCTTCTAACCAAGAAACAAAGGCTAGGGTTCTGTACGCACTGGTTAGGATGGATCACTTGTTGGAAGTGGAAGACATCTCAGTGATGTATTAATGGTAATCAATTAATGATTATAAAGCCTTTTAAAATGGAAAAGAAAACATTTATTATCCATATATAGTCCTTCAACCAAGTAAATCCTTTCTTCAATAATATACATAATAATTACACAAAACATATCACATTTATACAAGTTGTACACATGAAACCATGTTATATGCAAGATTACACTTCTCAGTAAAATAGCCACATTCTAGGAAATGTTTGGGGTTCAGTCCCATCCAGGATTTGAACCGACTTTCTCTCCACCAAATCGCCAACATACAAAGTAAGTGATTCAGCCAACTCAGCTGTGAACATAATTATATTGTCAGACTTTCAATCGCGACCTAGTCAAATACATCCAAAATGGCCTTTGGTCCAAAAATGTGTTTTTACATGCTCTTAACTTGAACAGAGTAAATGACATGGCAACTAAATAATATTTCACATGTAGTCTCCAAAGCAGTTTGCAAAAGAAAATTATTTAGGTGATAAACAGCTGGTGTTTCCTTTTGATATATTTTGCTGTAATCGTCAGGTTATTATAAATATGAAATATGAAATGGATACTTTTCATCCACTTTACATGTTGCATGAAATATCACTCAAACCACATAAGTCAGTAATGCCTGTTCTTCCTATGTGATGCTTGGTATGTGTACTGGCACTTTCTGCAGCCAGCCCTTAAACGTATACAGAAAGGTCTTAATGTTGGGAAAAAAAATGGAGACATCTGCACCAGGGCAAATCTGGTGTTTTACATGTACCGTATGTGTACATGTGAGTGAGAGAGTGAATTTTAGTTTTATGTCTATGATTTAGCAATATTCCAGCAATATCATGGCAGGGGACACCATATATAGGCTTCATCCATGTGGGGAATCGAACCTGGGAAGCAAACTTAAACCAGTGGGCTACCCTTATGCCCTGTATATGTGTACATGTACATAACTTAAAAATTTTTTAAAAAGAATTGATGAAGCTTCAATACTTTTCCCTGTCCAATATGTCTATATGGCACAAGATACAGAGAGATTTGTTTACACTGAAAAACTTGTAAGAGATAAATTATGTCTATTTTCCATTAATGTTTTGCAAAATGTGTATTTCAAGCATTAATAAAGAATGTTTTATAATCATACAGATACCATGGAGCTTATTCATTTTGCCGCATAAAAGAGTGCTATGGGATAATTTCATCGCGAACATCATATTTCAATGACAGAAAATCTTTAAACCTCAAAACTAGTAACTATGCAATCTCCTCTGAAACCATTAATAATGGTCAGTTGTTTGCCTTTCCTCTGCTGACATCATCAAATCATAGCAGAGTCTGCTACATTAATAGAATAACATGGTTTTGATATTCATGACCTAATGTGATTGGAGATAGTTTAAAAACTGTTTCAACATACACCCTGCATTTTCTTATATATTGTAAACTAACAACTGTCCAGGCTTCTGATAAACCATTTATGAGAGGTCTTACACCAGTGTTCGATCTTTAATTTATCCCCAAAGTCATTTGTGTAAGCATTTTTGATGTAGGCAGGTGATCTTAGCGGAGAGGAATCAGAAACATTGTTCAAAGTTAGAGTTAATAAGAATTCAGGCCAGAAATTGGCCAGGGTCACATTAAACAGCTTTAAAGTCCTGACATATGTAAGGCCGAATAATGAATTTTGCCAGAAAGTATAAAGTATAAGTTGGAATATGCCTAGCAATGTGAAACACTGACCAAAGAACCCTACCGCCTGTTGGGGCCAGGAAATTGAAATTGAAACAGATGAAAGCTCTTTGGAGACCAATAGCATGAAATGAAATTACACATGAGTCTATCAATTCATCAAGTTAAGACTTTGGAAATACTTCCATGAAATAAAAACAATTTGCCTTTGAAAATGCTGTATCTGCCAATTTCATATATGAAAACAAAATGAAAAAAATCAGATAACTTGGTGAAGCTTTATTAGTTACCCTGCCCAAAAGTGATTATTATTCATCAGAAATATCTAATGGCTGAGAGGTTGAGAGAGTTATGAAATTTGAGATACAGCCTTCACTAGACTTGGGCACTTAATGTACCAGTATGTACTCTACATGTTCAAGTACCACAACTTCTTGTTCAAGGTGGTAGAGGATATCAAGGCTAAAGGAGGGTGCACACACAGCCAACATCAGACCGACTTGTTGAAACACAACATTAAGGTGAAGGCTTCTTGATCTCTGCCTGTATGTGCAAAGATACACCTCCCAGTCACCATCAGTCATTCTCCAAGCTGAAAATAGTGTCAAGATCATATTAAATGTTCAATCATTCATAACAGCCATGATAGTTTTTGAGAAACTAAATAATTACGTTTGAAAGTCATGAGAAAAGTTTATTCATATGCAAAAAGCGGGTGTAACAGAAAGAATGGATCATATGCAACACTGTTTACTTAAGATAAAAGGATTTTTGTGACATATTGTGCCATCAGCAGTGAAACACTTCTCATACTCACAATACTATATCATATAATCCCTTACACAGACACCCAAATTGTGTGTCAGTGTGATTCTTTATCTCTAATTTATGTTGTCAATTCATCGTTTCAATAACAAATTTAGAAGCTAGATAACCATTACCATGTGGGCTCTTGTCACCGTTAGACCACAAATCGAGGCTACATTCAAATCAAGGCCACTAAAACAATCCATTCAACTCAAGCAGCCCTAGCTTCACTGCCTTAAATTAGTCTCTATAACAATGCCAACTTGTATCCATGGTAAAACATAAATAGGAAAGCATATACATGTAATGTATGCACCACAAAATGTGCACTCAATTCCTTACAAGTTGCACAAAAATCAAATTTTCCCATTAACTTCCAAAGCAACATTAAAACAACCAGCCTGTGAACAGCCAATACATGTAGGTACATATAGCCTCAGACCACTTTACTACCTGCTACAGTGGCGATGCCATGGCCAGAGCACCATAATTACAGAGCCCTGTCCTAGGCTGTCCTGTGGCATGCTGACTAACCTATTACTTCTCACTTACCCAGCAAAATATCGGGTCTGGATCAGTATTTCAGTTTTGCTTGCATCCACTGTCATCAACGGTCAGGCTGAATTTCTAGCTGAAATACACTAAACAGCCTTTGAACTTGGGGTCAAATCATGAAAGCGTTTGAGTCAATAGCATGTGCAGATTGAGGACAAAACAAACGCAATAAAAGTAAAATGTCTGATCTTTCATTTAAGCTGTCAGCTAAAGTCATCCTGAATAGACTAGCACAGACAAAATCAGTGCATTTAAACAAGGCACTACATTCCTCCTCTATTTTCCTTCCGGTCAAGTGGTGTAAAACTTAGAGGAATAATACAGGAGGTGAAAAGCCGACTCAGCTCGCATTAAATGTAACCTACATGAAAATATCTCACACACACTGCAGAAGCAATCAGGTTAAAAAGAAGCAACTAACATTGAAAAAATATGGTTAGGTTTAATTAGTGGATGAATGCACATTTTAACAACATAAAATCATCCAATCACTGCTGTCATTTGATTCAGTCAGCACCGCTCTCTGCTCTATGCTTTAAAACAAAAGGCACAGCAAAAACAACATGCATTTTCATTTCCTACCGTCCCCTGGGGTGCTTAGCTGGATGAAGCTCTCCTGGCAGCTGGCAGAACCTCTGTGGTGCACACTGACTGTCCGCTTTGACGTACCAGGAAGTGGCCTTCCAGCTAGGCTGAAATGGGAGAGAGATTGAATGAAATTTTCAGTCTAGAGGAGGTTGTACACATGGTCAAGGGATCAGGTGGGGCCTCTGCACCAGTCAAAACAGCCAAGAGGGTCCAGGGAGGGGCTAAGATTATTGTGTATTTAGTGCTTGTGCACTTAAGGACTCCTATAGGAAACCCAGTGCACAGAAAACCTTAAATGCACAATTGACCTTTTAAAAAGGCACAGCAAAACAACATGCATTTCATTTCCTACCAGTCCCCTGGGTGCTTGGGCTGGATGAAGCTCTCCTGGGCAGCTGGCAGAACCTCTGTGGTGAACAACACTGACCGTCCGCCTTCTTGACGCCGAGAAGTGGCTGGCCCAGCTTAGGCTGAAATGGGAGAGTGGAGGAATGAAATTTTCATTCAGAGGGCTGCACATGGCCTGCTGGATCAGGTGGGCCTCTGCACCAGCCAAAACAGCCAAGAGGGTCCAGGAGGCTAAGATTATTGTGATTTATAGCTTTCTGTGCACTTAAGGACTCCTATAGAAACCCCAAATGCACAGAAAACCTTTAAATGCAATAACAATGGACCTTTTAAAA